TTCAACCTAGACTTTGGTTTTCAGAATAAACTCCCAGTACCTCTGCAGTCTGCCATTCTTTCGGTGTCATTTTTTGTTGTTTTGCTGTTTTCTTTCCTTCTAGAAGTCCTGCTTGGCACTTACTGAATCTCTTGGAGCCATCTCTCTTATTTAACTTTTCTCCCATATTTTCCATCTCCCAGTGGTATCCAATACAGAGGTGGTGTGTTTGCCAACTTCTGGGGTGTCTTCCAGAAGCCCCCCATCCCATTTTGGCTCCGCACAGGAAGAGACCACTGATAGACCACAGACTTACACGCATTGCAGAGGAAAGTCATTGTAGCTTCAGAGAACCACAGAGTTGGCTCCCTGATTCTAACTCTGTTTCAGGGTCCAGCGATGAGGCCAGGTAATGAAAGGCCTTTGTGTTAGAGATTGCTGGGGTTCACCTTCTCCGGTTCTCCTGTCCTTCCCGGGTCCATGGAGGATTATCCTTCCTCACTCTCCACTGGAGGAAAAAAAATCACTACTTTGGGGGAGTAACTGTATCTTTTAACCTTTCTCAGCACGCTTACTAGTGAGTTGAGATTCCGAGTGATAAATCCCAAAACTAAAAAATCAAGTGATCTTTAGCAATATCTACTTGTCATCAACAGGGCCATTCATCTTACTGAGGAACTTGCCTTCAGATGATAAATTGCTAAACAATAGGTTATATTTTTCATTAATTTTATCTCATTGTTTTTAATCAACATTAACTTTTGTATTGCTTTAATTTTATTTATGCCTATGGGGACTTCTATCGCACATGTGGTACTAATTTTCCATTTCTGGTAGTGGTGCAGTCTTCTTTACGTTACATATAAAATGAATGTATTTGAAGAAAACATGAAAATAAATTTACAGGTGGTGCATGGATACGCTAAAAATCAAGAAGCTGGTATAGCATGGCTGAAGTTAAGGAAGTCTGACTTTATTCCAAACCATAAGAATCTCAAGATCACTTAAAACTGAGACACACGTTGTGTATTTTTACTCTGAGGATAAGCTCTGGCTGAATGCTCATTCTTTTAGTAATTTCTAAGCCTTTTGCTGGTATCTGCTCGAAGATCTATGTTTTCCCTCCCTAAACACCGATGCTGGACACCACACTGGTGTATCGTGTACCTCGGCTCCTTCTCACTCACTGGCGACTATGACAACCCCAGGAATCTCTCTACCTACAGAGCGGAGTCCGCGGAGTGGTGGTCCCAGACCTTTCTGCGGCTCCGAGGACCTGAGACTATCACCCCACCGACCGCACTGCACGCTGGTCAGGGTGGCCCAGGCGATCCAGTCCGCTTGGTGTCCCGCGTTTTCCTGGCTGGCTGAGAGAGCCGAGCATCTCCCCCTGCGCATCTCCCTACGACTAGAGAACCGCATTCCTGGCTCTACTGCCAGCTGACTGCAAAAGTGGCGCCTGCGTAGTAGTCTCCTGTTCTTGAGGCTTCAAGGCAGAACCCGCCCCCTTTGCCCGGGAGATGCGTCGGCGCGTCATCGGTTGCTATGGAAACCACACATATGTACGTCTAGAGCCAGGCTTTCAGCTTGTGTATTAGTTCTTTGAGGCGCTAAGGTAAGTGAAACCCAGAACGTCCCACCGACTCTTCGCCCTACCGAAAGCCTTGGGCCAGTTAGGTTCAGTCCTATTTACGGCTCCCATGGCTCTGAGGGATGTTCGAACTTAGCCGGGAGACTTGGGTTACATTTTGAACTCATGCTTAAATAAATTTAGGAGAAGCCATAGGAAGGGCTGCACTAGGCAGAAATGTCCGTGAGGGGTTGGCTAGGTTGGGATGCTCAACCCGATCGAGACGTGTGTGTGTGTGTGTGTGTGTGTGTGTGTG